CCTAAAACGAGGAAACCTGCGACTCTGAGGGGTCGAGGAAGACGAGGAGGAGGAAGGTAAAAGCTTCTGGGGGGGGGGCAGATTTTGTAGTGGAGGAACCAAACTCCTCCTCCCACTCAGAGCTGCGCTTTTCTTCTGTTTGTGTTTGTATGACTGACTGGCTGCTGCATAATTATTCTCATTACAGACTCTTAGATAACGCAGCAGCTGTGCTCAGCTCCACCAACACGCCACATGATTGTTTCAGGAGGTCATGTGACCTTTCTGTCAGATAAACCTTTCAGTTTCTGTGCAGGTGAAAGAGCCAAAACACACCTGAGCCTCCTCTGTGCCCATCAGCTCTCCTCCTGCTGCTCATCAAACCACCAGGCCCATATGGAGTCACACCAGTGATCCCAGTACATCAACAAAGCTAATATGTGATGTCAGTCAATCATCTGCAGGCAGAGCCTTAACGGTGACGGCACGAAACGATATGTGTTCGACAAAATGACTGCAGAGGTGCAGCAATGACTGTGCACCATCATCCATCCATCCAACCAACATCCATCCATCATCCAACCGACCAACAGCCATCCATTCATCCATCATCCATCCATCATCTATCCAACCAACATCCATCCAACCAACATCCATCATCCATCCAACCAACATCCATCCGACTATCATCCAACCAACAACCATCATCCACCTTGTGCCTATTATCCAAGTGCTCTGAGGTTTCTGTCCTCACCTCCTCACACATGTGGAGCAGACGGTGAGAAGCACTTCCTGTTCCTCTGCGACACAGACGCAGAGTTCAGAGTCTGTGTCGCAGAGTTTTTCTCAGTTTGCATTTCAGATCAAAACCTTTTCAAACGTCCAAACCTCCAACTGTGCGAGCAAACTCCATGATGGAGAACAGGCGAGCACAGCACGCATGGTGAGCACAGCATCGCCGATGGCGAGCACAAAACACACACTTTATGTTCAGCATCATGCCGTCATGTGGGTTGGTCATTTACACTCCATATGCATACATACAGATGTTTACTGCAGCTGTTTCTGTGCTCCGTTTTATTTTATATGCTTCAGCTTTGGGTCAGAGGTCAGGGGTCAGGGGTCCATCCTGTCTGCCTCGCTCTCACTGAGATGAAATTGTGTTTTTGTGCAGAGAAGTTTGAAGCCTCTAATTTCAGTCTCTTTGTGTTTCTCCCTCCCACCGCCTCGCTCTCACTCTTCCTCTCTCTGCCTCCCACTCCTCTTCTCCAAATGTCTTACTGAGAGCTGGTTGCTATGTGAACAGGTGCTAAAGAGCCTCTTATGTTATCTG